CTCCCGCGGGCCCCGCTGCCCGTGGGACACCCCCGGGGAGCCCCTGGGCGCTGTGGGTTTGCTTTGTGGCACGTCTGGGCTTTCCGGTGCTTGGCGGGACCGAGGTGCTCGCCATGGCGGTTCGGGGACCGATGATCTGAAGTGGGCTGGGGCGTAAGGGCAAACCAGGAGCTGGGCTGCTGCCCTGCCGGAGCGTTGCGGTGCCCTCCTGCCTCTCCACAAGGGCGTTTACTCTCGTGACAAAAAAAAAAAGGCAGCTGCTTAGTGTGGTAATTCTTATTTACTGGTGTGGTTTGGGTAACTGGTGTGTTTTGCCTTGTGGGGAGCGTGGTTTTGGATCTGTGCGTTATTGTGGGCGTGGGATTGCATGTTTTGGAGGGATGAGTGTCGGAGAAGGTGGCTCCAACCTCAACCTGTTTTTCTTTCTCAGGTCATGTAGAAGAGCAGATTTAATGTGAAGATGGGACTGTTGGTGTTTATGCGTAACCTGCTGCTAGCCCTCTGCCTCTTTCTAGTACTGGGATTTCTGTACTATTCTGCTTGGAAGTTGCACCTCCTCAGATGGGAGGACTCAAGTAAGTATGAGCACCGTGTAACTGTTTCTGGGCTCCATAAAATGTCTGTCAAATAGTTGCGATAGTACTGGGATGATTCTGATTTAGAAAGATGTGATTAAGCCAAATAAAATGCTGGAGTTTTCAGTATACTGAAGGTGTTGAATTTGTGATTACCTAATGCTTTTTATGGTTTTACTTTTATTACTGGGTACGAAAGCAGGTTCACACTCTAGAAATCTAGCATTAGAGACTTTAGTTCTTAGAATGCTCTGTGTTAGTTTATGATTCCTAATTGTCAAAATAAAGAGTTTGTGTGCTGAGGCTTTTGTTCCCTGAATCTTTCTGTACGTTTTAAAATACCTAAGACAAGGTTTTTTTCTCTGATGGATTTTGATTTCTTTCTATAATTGTATATGCTAGTTATCTCATCATCTTACTTTGTCCTTCAGAAATCCTCATCTTCCATTTATCTTCCATATTATTATCTGCCAACTATCTGTCATCTAAAATGATGTGTCTCAACCTTTTTAAGTCCAAAGAGACATCTGACCTCATTGAGTATAATCTGAGGAGGGCACTGTGCGGTAATGCCATAGGAGGTTTTAGTTGCAGTGAGATATAAATTAGGCTGACGTTCGATTGCTCAGTTGCTGCTCTTATTTTTGCTTGTGTTGATTGCTTTCTTGCTTGCATGTGAGAATTGTCCATTGAAAATATAAACCCAAGAAAATATCTCCTTTCCTCCCAAAACGCAAGCCAGCCTTCTTTGCAGCTGTTCCATGGGCTGTTTCAGATGTCTCACAGCCGACCGTTCGTTGCTCCGTGGATCAGTGGCTGAGAAACACTGGTCCAGAAGGATTGTTTTTCTGTCCAGCAAAAAAGCTGTTGGTCAAACTCCATCTTTGCTGTATTGTGTTTTTTTGCATGCTGCTGGAGGTTTCTACTGCAATGCCTATTAAATTCAATGCTTTTCTACCTCTACATGCTCTGTATCTGTTGTTACGTGCTCTAAGAAGTTTTGCAAGATGATGACTTGGATATGATATTTGCGCTGATGCAGTGATTTTTGACAGGAGGAGCATTAAGGTGTCTTGTACTAGAACAGGTATTGGAAGACTGAATTTGTAAAAGGAGATGCATAGTGTTTTTCTGAGCAGGGATTGTTTCTTCAGGTTTGTGTTTCAGAGAGGGAGTCAAAAATCTTGATTGTGACCTTTTAAAAAAAAGCACTTTTGTTGATGAGGTACAGAAACTCCTTCCTGCATAAAAATAAGTACAGAATGTATTTAAAAGAACTGTATCTGCTACCTCATGATGATCTGTTATTTACTTATACCACCTGCCATCCTTTGCTTCCTTTATACCACCAGAAATTGTGTTGGGACTTCCCAAGGCCTGAAAAAAAACCTTTCAGGCCACAACTTGTACCTGAACTTTGTGGAGGGGAAACTTTGTGTTTGTGTGCTGTGTACCAAGGTGCTGGAGTGGATTGTAAATTTCTTCAGATTTCTCCTCTTTGGATTTTGTGCCTGTAGTTTTGTGTGCCGTTGGTCATTTTACGCCTTGTCAGTCCCTGGGAAGTTTTGTGGTAACTTTGCCATGTGATGCAATGTTGCAAATCTAGATGTAAACATCGTGGATTTCTATGAATGGAATACTTTTACCTGGAAAGATGACTTTAAGTTGCAGCCTAGTTAATTTCTGTTGCTCGTACTGGCTGCTTTCGGGTACTCAGGATGTTCTGACAGGAGCATTGTGAGGTGATGTCACAGACTTTTTGTTAGGTGCTTGTCTCTTTTTTTCTAATCTTGTGTGCAAAATGTCTTCTTCATTTATTCTTGGAAGTTGCAGTGCTTGCATTAAGCTGCATCAAGGTGTACAAAGCAGTGATTCCAGTTTTAAGATTTACCTTATTGATCTTTATCTGTTGTCACAGTTCATACAGGCTGTACCATTGTTCCTTCTCTTCTAGATGCTTTCATGGATTGTGTCTTAAATACCAGATGAAGCTCCTAGAGATACTGGTGTAAACACCAGTCTAGTGTAAGAGGGGAACATTTTTTGTGACTACTTTTGAAAACAGTTAAGATGGAAAAAGTTTTCAGTTGATATTCAGAGTTTTGTGTGTGTCAAAAAATGTTTTATTTATTGTGTAGTTTTACACATGAGGAACTTACGCAGATTTAAAAGCCTGTATTGGGAAACTTGATATGAGGAGTTAATGTTAAGCTTCTATAAATAAGCGTTTGGAAGTTAACAAACGACAGAATTTAAGTCGCTTGTTTAACCGTGATTAGGCTTCCTTGGGCATGTGTAATATGATACAATGTATAATGGTGCAATTATACTTGCTGTTTTCTGAAAGGGAGCCTTGCTTAGGTCAGTGCACAAGCCGGGTGGTGCTTGATCGCTGTTTGTGGTTTTATTTCCTGAATTGCAATTCAGCATGTGATGTTGTACGTTTCCTTAAGATTGATATGATAATGGTGATGTCTCCAAAGGCAAAACTAAGTTAGATGTGTTAATTTTGGGGTGCTTAATAATCTAAGGATATTGATTTTATGTGTAAGTTACCTTCTTATTAAATTATTGTCTCTTTTCTCGTGACCAGTGTCTTTATTCTGTGTAATAGTGACTCCCTAGCTTCAGTAGTCACATTCATCTTTGTTCTGTTCTTTGTGCGAGAAGAGGTATGAAACTAAGCTGATCCCGACATCCGACACCCTTGCAATCTCTTTGAAGACTGGTTTTAGTAAACTTGACACCTGTATTTAATATCGGACACAAACAAATTTGCCATAGAGTATGGTGAAAAATACTTGGTTTGCTTACTTGCTGCTTGTGTGTTTTGTTTGCTTAATGTTTTGGAATACGCCTGTGTATGTTGTTGTTATGGAAGAATTTGAATGGTAACTGTAAGGAATCTAGTCACCGCTGAGACTTTGGATGTTTGTATATTTAGCTGCTAAAGTAAATGAATAAAGTAATTTGTTTATTTGTACTTCTGAGACCTTCAAGAAAGAAGGCTAAACCGAATAGACTGAAAGATACACATCAATGTTTCTCTTACCATCTCCATTTAACTTTAGATCTATCCTCCTTGATTGATGCCTCAGTGAGTTCTGAGAGATTGTTCTCCTTCCTGTGTAACTCTCCTATTCTCCCTTGTATTTTGTCAAGGTGTAAAGAATTAATTCTCTAAGGCTTATCTTTCCTGTGACAAGAGTAGATTGAATTCAGCTAATGTGAACTAATTAAGGTTGAATTAAGTTCAAGTGCTTCTTCCATTCAAGACAAACCTCCAGTGACTGCTACCTCTCTCTCATCCTTTTAGTGAGTATCATGTCTGGCTGCTCTTCCCCGAGCCTTGTGTCGTGTCAGTGGCAATATATTGTTAGTTCTCAGAGCAGTAGCCAAGTGCAAAAAAGTGATGTGTAACACTGTGTGAATGCAGGAGGGCTTTTGAGTTCCAGTGATCTCTGGGAATGCATGAGCAGTGTTTATTTAGGACAGAGGTAAGCTTTCCTTTCTCTTTATTCTTTCCTCATTTCTGTAATGCAGCTTCAGTCTCTGACAGCAGTGGTAAGAGATGTACACTGTCCTTGCACTTTCTTCCCAGACAGACCATAACGGCAGATGATGCAGCCCTCTGATTAAGAGTGTTGAGTTGCATGGAGGTGTGCTAAGCACGTAGAACTGATAATGTGATGTGGGAGATAAACAAGGAAATAAGAAGTTTGATATCAGGTTTAGCTGTCCTCTGCATTCTAGAAGGACCTTGCAGCAGCAGGTAATCATAACTCTGTTCATTGTGTTTCTGGGCACCGAGCCGTCAGGGAATTCTTACATAGTAATGGTAGTGATAGGTGCAGGTTTTGAAGGTCTGAGGCATGCACTGCAGCCTCTTTCCTAACAACTCCCTGTCCTATGCCTTCCACCTTCCCTGGTGCGTTTGGCTCTGAGGAGAAAGAAAGATGTTATCTGTACGAGTGTGAAGAAGACAGCAGGTGGGAAGGTGCCCTATTTGAAAAGTACAGTGGGAGATGGAGTCTTGCTGACAGTGCCTCTTAGATTTGCTTTATCAACTTGGAGGAATGCATTTTTACCCATAACTGAAGGACAGAATATAGTCACGTTAAAATTTAATACTGATGTTTGTTACTTAACCTGGTATGTGTATAGCTGATTTTGCAACTTGAAAATGAATGTGTTGTAAGGAAGGAATGATTCCATTAAAAAATGTCCTGGCTATGGAAATATTGGACTTATTCCCCTAAGGCAGCTTTTTTCTTTTGTTTTTTTTCCTCTTGAAGTACTGAAATATACTTGGAACAAGGACAGTGTGACGCCATTTTTCTGATCTCTATTGTATTTCTATCTACATTAGCATTGAATTCATTTAAAGAAAAATATACTCTACTTTAGGTACTTTTGCCAAAACCTAAGTTAATGCAATTCGTAGCTATAGATTTTGAGCTTGTCAGTTTGAATGGGGCTTTTGAAGCATCTCCAGGTACATACTGTCGATGTCTCTGTAAAGAAATCAAGTCACTACTCTATCATCTGTTGCTCCATGTTATTTTCAACTCTAATTCTGGAAAGGGAGCCAAAGAGATAAAGGTCTAGGAAGAGATTTTGTGAAGGCATTTCAGGACCCTTATCCTTTTTATTTATTTTTTTAATGTCTGTTTCCATGAGAACTGAGGAGGCATATACAGGCAAAACTGACTCATTTCTGGTAGCAGGTTTTTGGTCTGCTTGCATTTCCATGGAAACCAGTCTCACAGCAAAAAAGGCTAAATTAATCAAAAGCAATCAAACCTTTATCTTTAATATAAATACTGATTTCTTTCTTTCCAAGTGAAATGATATGCTGGTCAATTCTTGCATTAGAGACTGAAAATGTGCTGAAGAAATGGATCTTTTTACAAGGGTTTGGAACATGCGTGTTCTTTATTATCATGTGGCTACAGCCTCAAGTTATGCATGATGACATGTAGTGTGGGTACACCTGTTGTATCGTGAGTTGCTGGGG